TTTTTTTAAAACACAAAAACACAAATCTGCTGAAATGGCTCTGCTGAGAGGGTCCCTGGCACCAAGCCTGCTGACCTGGGTTTGATGGCAGGAACGAAAAGTCAACCAGAGAGAACTGACTCATCTAGCCAACTGCTAACCATCGTCCCCCCACACAGTCCCAGTGTACTTCCTGACATTCCAAATCCAAAGGGATCTTGGGAGAGAGGTAAATGTGGGGCCTCTCATTTGGAAGAGGAAAGTGAACCCAAACTCCCATGCCGGTTCCCAGCAGGGCGATCAGCCCACCACAGCAGTGGTGACTCCTGCTGTCATTCTGAGCTGGCACATCTCTTCAGCACTTCAAGGGGTACAGACAACCAGGAGCTGCTCTACACCCTCCAGTCTACAAAGGATGCCCCAGAGCCAAGGGTCATCTGTGTCACAAGCCTGAGCAAATGAATGAACATGAGTATATCCACACAGGAGTTACAGCAAGATCGAGGGCCGTGGAAGGGGCGCAGGCATCCTAGCATAGACTGACGCACAAACCAGAACTTCGCTACGCAAGCTCAAAATGAAGAGCAGGGCTAAGAATAGTGCTGCACACCTTTTATCCCAGCTCTCAGGAAAGAGGCAAGTTCACTCAGCGAGTTCGAGGACAGCCAAGGATGTATGGTAAGACCCTCCTAACTCCCTGGTCCCCACACTTCAAAAAAAAAAAGTTCACCTGGGACAGAGAGATTTCTACTTGTTGATTGATACAGTGTGTGTAATCACAGAGGGGTGTATTTATAAAGCACACGGACACACACCCTTGCACACGTTTGTGGGTTTTTAAATCTCCACTGATTTCTCCAGGGCCTTTCAGAAGCCTTTATCTTCATGTCGCCCTCTCTTGTTGTCTTAAGAAAACCAGTGTTTTCTGCTTGGGATTTATTGTCAGCCTGAGAGAAATCCTGACCCCTGTGTGTTGCCTGGCGACTGACTACAGGCCACCGCCAGCACCACACTGTCCACACAGACACCAGCAGGTGGTCACTCTCTGAGTGGTCTCAGAGGGAAGTACAGGGGAGGAAGAGTGTGAGTGAGTGTGAGTGCGTGTGTGTGTCTGTCTGTCTGTCTGTCTTAAAATAGGAAAAAGCTGCATAAGTTACTTACAAGAGCTAACTTTGTAAGGAAATCGTTCAGCATTTTAACCACTGCCTTTACTCACAGAGCTATGATGCCTCTGGTATACAAAGTCTTACACCAGAAGCGCTTGTGTAAAACGTCCAGGGGAATGGAAAAGTATGTGTGGCTCTGACCACACATAAACCAAAGGTGTCCTGCCTCATTGTGATCTAACATGATACAGGCGGGAGGCAGGGCCAGTCTCCCCAGACTCCTATTTAATGAAACTCCACCCACTTAATGAAACTCCACCCAAGCTCACAGCCTGAACAAGCCAGGTTCCTGGAGCCAGGGCCCCAAGGGGCTTCCAGCCCAGCATCCCATGGCCTTGGCGCGAGCCCCAAACTTCTGGGGGTTCCCCAGTTCCGCTGACCTCAGCTATGGTGCTCCCAGTGGTGTTCTTGGAGAGGTCATTGTAGATTTCCGTCATCGTCCCCTTTATGGCGTCCATCATCTGAAATGATAAAAACAGCTTCAGTAGGTGATACAAATGTATCCAAACACAGTGAAATGTCAGACAGTATCGCTTCCAGACACTGGTGCTTAAGGCTGTCCATTGCTGACAGAGCAGGGAGGAGCTGCTCCTCGTAACCAAGGGCCAGCGAGGCCAGTAAAGGATCTACAGTGCACAGGCCAGGCCCTTGCAGACCTGAGAAACCCAAGAGCATACTCTATTTCCTTCCCCCAACGTGTCTTACTGAGCCAACACAGCAGGTTTAAGGAAGGGATTATTTGGTCCTTGTGGATTTATAATTATAAAAAAAAAAAAAAAAAAAAGCCAGATGGTGGCAATACACTCCTTTAATCCCATAACTCTAGGAGGCAGAGGCAGGTGGATCTCTGAGTTCAAAGCTAGCCTGGTCTACAGAGTGAGTTCCAGAACAACCAGGGCTACAGAGAGAACTCCTGTCTCAAAACAAAATGAAAAAAAAAAAATTATACTTTTGTTTGTCTGTTGAATTTTTTGTTGTTGTTGTTTTATTAAATCCGGGCCTCGTGTTTCCACCTGGTTCTACCTCACCATGTAGCTGGTGACTGGGCTTCTGACCCCTGACCTCACCTGGTTTTTAAATTCAGTGGTAGGGCTGAAGTCCAGATCTTCATTTGTGCTAGGCAAGCATTTTACCAACTAAGCTGCATCCTAGCCCACCAAAAAAAAAAGGGGGGGCAGGGGGGACACATTTAGAGAGATTGGTTTGTTTCTCCATGTAGCCTTGACTGCCCTGGAACTCATTCTGTAGACCAGGCTGGCCTTGAACTCAGAAATCCGCCTGCCTCTGCCTCCCAAGCACAAGAATTAAAGGCGTGCACCCCTACTGTCTGCTCCTCCCGCCCCCAAATTAAGTTTATTGTTAGGAAGTATATGTATGTAGATACACGAATGCCTTGTAGCTCAAGGGGAGGTCAGAGGACAGCTCTGTGGAGCAGGTTCTCTCCTCTCACCAATACAGGAGTTCCAGGGAACAAACTCAGGTCCTTAGATCTGGTGGTTTGAATATGCTTGGCCCAGGGAGTGGCCTGGTTGAAGTTAGGTGTGGCCTTATTAGAGGAAGTGTGTCACTGTGGGGAAGGGCTTTGAGATCGTCCCCCTATCTGCATAGAAGCCAGTCTCCTTCTGCTGCCTTTGGATCAAGAACTCTCAGCTCCTTCTCCAGCACCATGTCTGCCTGCACGCTGCCAAGCTTCCCGCCATAATAGACTGAACCTTCAAAACTTGGAAGCCAGCCCCAACTAAATGTTTGCCTTTATAAGAGTTGCCTTGGTCACGGTGTCTCTTCACAGCAATAAAACCCTGACTAAGACACCAGATAGCAGGAACTAATGAATTCATTACCCACTTCACCAGGTACAGTGCACAAGCTGCTGGCTTCTGGGTGCTACACTTCAATGGCTGGCTGTGTGCGGACCAGTGTGTACACACATTCAGTGGTTCTTAGCATGTCTGAAGTTACCCAGACAATAGCACCACAAGCAATTCTAGACCATTCTATACCACACACACACATCCAAAACGCTCTACTTTCCCTGTCCTTACTGTCTAGGGATTTCTACTGCAGTGATGAAACACCAGGACCAAAGTCACTCAGGAGGAAAGGGTTTATTTGGCTTGCACTTCCACAACACAGTTCACCATCAAAGGAAGTCCAGACAAGAACTCAACCAGAGAAGGAGCCTGGGGGCAGGAGCTGATGGGGGTTGGGGGGACGACAAGGAGGGTGCTGCTTAGGGAGTGCTCTGCATGTCAGCCTGCTTTCTGATAGGACCCAGGACCACCTAGGGAAGGCACAATGGGCTGGGCCACGTGCTCTCCCTTATCTGTAGGGGGTTGGTCTGGTGCAGCTACATTCAAATGCTAAATACAGATCCTCAGAAATACCTAGAGAGTGCTATGTAAACCTTGTTCCCTAGATGAGCAGTGGTGGCGCAGGCCTTTAATCACAGCACTTGGGAGGCAGAGGCAGGCAGATTTCTGAGTTCGAGGCCAGCCTGATCTACAGATTGAGTTCCAGGACAGCCAGGGCTACACAGAGGGTAAGAGAAAAAAAGAATGACCAAAAAATCTTGCTCCCCAATTTTAAATTATTGGTTAAATAAAACTAGAAACAGCTAATTACTGGAGAGCAATAGAGGGAGGTGCAAGTTGAGTTACCAGGCTGGAAGTTCCTGGTAGGCAACATGAGGGGAGGAGAAAGGGAAGGAGGAGTGTGGAAGAAGAGAAGAGAAGATAGAACAGGAGGCCTCCATTAGTCATGATGGACCAGAAATTCAGGCCAGGGTGAAGTGCCTCCCCAGAACACCAGACTGCAGAAAGAACCCAGAAAATTCCCAACAGCAAGTATTCTGGAGCACAGCTGGGGTAGCAGCCGGACTAGCGTTAGAGAATGAGATTAGGGGTAACCCTCCCCACCCCCATAACTGCACAGAGCCTAACAAATCATAGTCTGAGTCATTCATTTGAAGCTAGCCGGTGATAAGCACAATTCATATTAATTTACATTAAAATGCACTAGAGATTACTATAGACTAAAATGCCTCAGAGGCTTGCCTGCAGCCCAGTGTTAACTACGGAGGCATTTTCCAAATTGAAGTTGCTTCCTTTCAGATGACTCTAGCTTATGTCAAGTAAAACCAGACAGCACAAACCCAACACCCCCTTACGCACTACTACACCCAAGAACCTGGGAACCATTTATCTCCTTTCTGTTTCTATGAATTTGAATGCTCTAGATCTGCACTGAAATGTCCATCACTCCACACCGGGGGCCTTAGGGACAGTGGTCAAGCCTTCCTCAAATCTACAGTATGTACCAAACAGTGCTTCTTGTCTTTCCCTAACCTACCATGAGCCTTCTAGGTTCCATGAAACAGCCAAACTCACACAGTTACCAACTGATGCATCTGTAAATCCCCTCCCCAGCCACAGCCGCGAGACTAGAGGAAAGGGGACTGACCACCCTGGGCTGTGGGCCCTCCCTCTCCTGTGATTCCCTCGGGAAGGGGACTGACCACCCTGGGCTGTGGGCCTTTCTCCTGTGTTTCCGGTGGGAAGGCAGGACAAAGTGAACCAGCTCTGGAGCATCTATTCCTACTAACAGCTCTCATCCTCTCTCTCAGAGGTTCCTTCTCCCAGGTAAGAACCAGGACAACGGCACCCACGTGTTGGGTGCATCTATCAATGCATCGGGAAAACCAGGGGAAGGTTTGGCTGTCCCAGGACAATGATGCAGAAAGCAATACTTGTGCCAGACACAGTATGTACTACCTTTTTAAAAATGAATAAAAACAGGGCCAGCTAGATGCCTCACAGAGGTAAGGACATTTGTCACCAAACCAGGCAATCCCTGGAACCAACGTGGTAAAAGACCCCAACTCAAGTTGCCTCCACATACATATATATGCCACAAAACAATGAATGGAAAAATAATTTCAAAAAGGAAATCCATGTTGTGTTTCTAGAAAAATATGGTAATGAACATGTCGTACTTAACTACCACCATGGAGGAAAACAGTAATCCCAAGTTTACCCGAAATGAGTGTCAAATGAGTGAATTATGTGGGAAGTCACACTCCCCTTTGCAGTAGGCCCAACGCTGCTGGCACATGCCCTGGGCTTCTTCGGACCTTGCCAGGCACCTGTGACAGTCCCCTCCAGGCTCCCTCCCTCTGCCTCAACCACCACATTAACATAAAAAAATCTGCTTTAAGAGAAAACTAAAAACCCAGTCCATTGCTAACACAAAGCTTAACCTGGTGAATTCCTGAACTGACTCTCACTTCCAAACAAAAGCAAAAGCCTCAACTTTTAGAGTACCCAAACACACAAAGTCACCACAGACACATGCTGGTTCATCAGGTCCCTCAAATGTCACCATGTTCAGTTTTTCAACAGCAATGAAAATATCTCCCCAAGAGGCCATTCTTCCTTCTGGCTGGTAGGAGGGTATTGCAAAGTGATGGGATTAGAGGTGTCAAGAGCTGTGGTAGATCCACTCGGCAGGCCTCAGTTTGCCTGTCTGTGAGTAAACAGCCAGGCCCAATCAGCAGGCGTCCGGCGATGGAGAGGGCGGGCAGTTGTGAGTGCCCTCCTTAAATTGGTCCACCCAGAGCTACAGGCTCTGACACCTTCACCACACTCTCCCCTTTTCCAACTCTCATCTTTATCTGCAGTGCCATCTCCCTGCCCTCTCTGCCCCCGTGCGCATGTGTGCACGTGTGGATGCCAAGGCTTGGCTTCCTCCATCCCTCTCCACCTTCTCCACTGAGGCCGCGGTCTCTAATCTGAGCTCATATCCGGCTTGCTCGGGGGATTCCGTCTCTGGTCTAAGGTGCCAGAATTAGAGACAAGATCATGAGCCAGACCCTTAGGCCTGCATAGCAAGTACTTCATCCTGAGCCATCTTCCCAGGCCCTACAATCCCCTCTTCACCCAAGAGTGGACAGGTTTGTGTCTTTGTGTGTGTGCTGTGTGGATTCTCCAGGTTTCAGGAGGCTCCATCACGAGCACCAGGTAACAGCAACACGTACAAAGAAGGAACTACAAGAAAATGAGCAAGAAACAGTTACCACAGAATTTAAAGCTTAGGTTTCTTTCACTATCCAGAACTTTGCATTTCTACTCTCAACTCAACCCAGTAAAGTAACTTCTAACATAAAACTTATTAATTCCAGCTGGAGAGATGCCTCAGCTGCTCTTCTAAAGGACCCGGGTTCAATTCCCAACACCCACATGGCAGTTCGCAGTGTCTGTAACTCCAGTTTTAGAGACTCAAACACCCTCATACATGCAGGCATAACACTAATGCACATGAAATAAAAGTAAATTTAAATTTTTTAAAATTAAAAAAAAAACGTATTAATTCCAATCAGGAAGGCTGAGAAATGGCTCAGGGGTTAAGAGCACTAGCTGCTTTTCCAGAGGACCTGGGTTCAGTCCCGTGAACCAACACAGTGGCTCACAACCATCGGTAACTCAAATTACAAGAGATCTGACTCCTCCTTCAGGCCTCTGAAGAAACAAAGCATACAGTATGGTATGCTCAACCCTGACCCCAACCCTGGCCCTAACTCTAACATCAACCCTAGCCCTAACTCTGTCTAATCCTGAATCTGTCTAACCCCAACTCTGACCAGACACTGTCTGCCCTCCAACCCTGACCCTAACTCTAACCCTGACCCAGACCCTGCATGCAGGCAAAATACCCATACATATAAAAATAAAGAAAAAACTCCAAGCTGAGTGGAGTGACTCACACCTATAATCTAGCACTCAGGAGGCCAGGATGAGAGGATTAAAGACCAGGCTGGGCTACACGGCAGTTTTTGACACAGAGTTAAGTAAACCAAAAAAAAGAGACAGACAGACAGAGCACATGTGAGAGAGACAGAGATAGACACACAGAGAGAGAGAGAAACAGAGAGAGAGAGAGAGAGAGAGAGAGAGAGAGAGAGAGAGAGAGAACGATATCTCCATCCCTCTCTCACCTGGGCCCTCACAGCTAGAACTGCTGATCTCTAATCACTGAACGCTCACTGGCTCATTAGTGAAAGACAGATTACTCTTACCAAATAGGAAAGTGTCTCTCATTAGCTATTAAATTACTAGCAGTGATAAGCCCGATAAGCAGGCTAACACACGCTAAGTTCACGGTGATGGACTCAGTACCTCCACCCAGCACCAAGCCCCTACTACCCAGGCATCATCCGTCTCCTTGGCGGTGAGCCAACAGCCAAAGGAGCCCTGGGGGTCATTACCACATCTCTACTGACACCTCTAGGACGAAGCAGAGGTCTCCAAACACCAAGGTGTATGTTTTATTTAACTGCGGTCACACAAGGACTGGCCCGACTAAAAGAGTCCGCCAAGGTCACACACAGTGGACCGTCCTACCTGCTAGGCCACCAGCAGGGACTGAGCCCTAGAGAGTGGATGACTTAAGGTGGGGAACCAGGAGGCCCAGCCTTTCTTGGCCCTTGGCATCTCACCTTGCTGGTGACACAATGAAGTCTCTCTCTCACTCCTGTTCAGGCCCCGGCAAGCCAAACAGACATGTGTTCACATCTCCCCAAGAGAAACCAAGCAGCACCATTTTCTATTCTCTAAACTGCTGAGTGGCAGTGGCGCACGCCTTTAATCTCAGCCAGCGCTCAGGAGGCAGAGGCAGGCAGATCTCTGCTAGTTCAAAGCCAGCTCTGGTCTATAGAGTGAGTTACAGGACAGCCAGGTGTAGAAGGGCCACACACCTGCAATCTCAGATGCTGGAGAGTTCTTCAAGGCTAGCCTAGACTACAGAGGAAGACCCTGCCTCAAAACAGAATCACACCAGAGACACAACTCAGTGTTAGAGAGCTTGTGTGTCACATTCCAAACCCTGGTTTATCCATGAGAGATAAAACTAACTCGAGACTCAAATGCAAACTGCCCTTGAGGATCCTCTGTAAAGCCAGCAACTTAGCCTTTTTTACAAACCACTAAGCCAGACCCCCAACAACCCCACTCCAGCCGCGCCAAACCCACTTACTTTGCTGGTGTACTTGGCAATGTCGGCGGCCACGTCAGCTGAGGCGGTAGCAATGGGCAGGTCGGCATTGATGGCGGACGCCAGGGTACTTGCAGAGCCTGAACTGCTGACCAGGGCAGCGGGCTGTGTGCTGGTCACCAGCGTGATGGTGGACGTGGATGGGCTCTGGGTGACCTCCTTCTGCTGGACAGCTAAGAAAGCAAAGGGTCTGGTCACTCCACCCATAGGGAAAAGCACATCCCAGCACACAGCCGGGGTGAGGGAAGGAAGTCTTCTCAGAGCCCTAGCCAGCTTTTGAACCATGAGTGCCAGTGTCTCACCTTGCCCAAGCTCGAGGCAGGCTCCTCTGAGCTCTCTTTTCGACTAGGCGCCAACCCTGCACTACCTGAGCCAACGCAAACATCTCCAAGAGCTCAAGGCTGTACAGTTTAGGTGACTTCAAGCCTTGAAGCACCAGGCTGTCAAAAGGCCTTAACAGCTGGATGCAGCCAACATCTAAGACAGGAGACTTTTCCATCTCTACAGGAAGATAAGAGCTTGGCTGTTCACTGGCAAAACCCAGACCCTCTGCTGTCATCACAAGGTCTGAGCCACCCTTTCCACCTTTGAAAATGCCAGCCGCCCCCGTACCAGACACGCTGGACGCATTCCTCAGGTGCGGCAGTCCTACCATTAAAATCGCTTCCTGACTGAAGGGAACAAGAGTCCATGACTCATTAAAATCTCAGTTCTTGACGTTTTTGGGTTTGTTTGTTTTTTTTCAGTGTTGGGAACTGAACCCAGGGCTTCATGCATGCTGGGCAAGCATTCTACGACCGAACTATTCTCGTGACCCAACAGACTTTAAAAGTCCAACAGCACAGTGCTCATTAAAATCAACGCCTACTGTTTTAATTGGTGGCAAAACAGTACCACGCTCGTTGGAGTCGATCCTTGCCACTGGGGTTAGAAGCACAGTATGCTAGGAGTGAGCACAACCAATGCTGAGCCGTTCTAGTCACGAGTGGTGACAAGAGCCTCTACTGATCAACGTCTGACCCAAAAGGCTATATATAATTCATGTTGATGCAGTACCGCGGCTTGCAGTCGGTCTCAGATGCTTTACTGATTAAAACTAGCCCTTATCAGTTGAAATGAGCCTTATAACCTGACACAGGACTATCTGGAAGCTGAGGATGCTATTACCACCAGATCTGGGCACTGCAGCCACCTACCCACCTGTAGGAGGCAGCCTTGCGTGGAAACAGAATCCAACGAGGGGTTGCCCTAACCCCACCTCCACTCCTTTAGCTCCATCAAGTGAGCTCACTCTTGACCCGTCCAACTTTTCAGGCCTTCTCCAGCCTCCTGGCCTTGAATCCCTGTAGGTATCCCCTGATACTGACTGGCCTGTTACCTCACTGGGGTGAACTCTGATGGCAGGAGCATGAGGGAAGGACAGAGTGGATGTGGAGGAAGCTCCTTTGTCCCCAAGAAACCAGACTCAGATCAGTGCTCCTGAGTCTTCAGACAATTGGGTGGAGCCATCAGCTGCAGGACAGAGACGGGCCTCCAGCACTCGGTTCTCAGAGGCTGGCCTCTTTAACATGGAAGGGAACACCGGTTTGGAAGGAAACCTTTGCCCCTACCGATTCCTCACACTCTATCCCACAAAATTCCTGGAGGCTCATAAGACACACTCCACAAAGATGTATTCATTGCAGCATATTTTATAGTGGGGAAAAAAACTGAACGCATCCGCAACGCCCACCAGCAGGGGACCACCTTAAATGAACTAGAGAATACTACGCAGCAGTCCAAAAGGATAAGACACAGACAGACCTCTAAAACATGCTCATGAGTGGGAAGAAGGGGGGAAAAAAAAATCAAGAATGGTACCATTTTTTGCTTAAAAAAAAAAAAGAAAAGAAAAACGGGAATATTTTATTGTATAATATTATATGGTATAAAAACAAACGTATAGGCATGCACTGGGAAAGGCATGAGGACAACTAACGATTGTCACAGAAGGGCGGACAATGACATGGACAGCGAATGGGCCCACATTCAGCATTCGGAGTTCTACACACATATCCTGGTCCCCTCTGCAAGGAGGAAACACGTATCATTTATAAAACGGAAAAAAAAAAAATCTTAAAAAAAAATCAGGCAAATAGTTAACAGCAAGCCAGTTGTTAAAAATGATTCCATATGGGATGGTAAGGCCTGTGATGACCATGACACATAGGGATGTAGGGGAAAAAATTAAACAAGGGTGGCCTTTCTCCTGTTGGTGTGGCAAAAAGGGGTTGGGCGCCACAGAGAACAGAAGGGGGCGCGGTACCTTTCACGGCCTGTCTGGTCTGATATCTTGTCCCCTGGGAAGACTGAGGCTGCTGCTGCTGCTGGCTCTGCTGCTGCTGTTGCTGCTGCTGCTGCTGCTGTTGGCGCTGTATCTTCTGCATGTGCCACTTTTGGGAGGACGTTTGAAACTTACTTGATGCGTTCCACACGACCCGCTGCACGGCTGGGACAGTCTCCTTCGGTAAGAGCGGTCTCTGCTTCTTCACTGGGCTTCCCGTGACAGCGGTGGCCGGTGCTGTGACTGTGACGGTAGACATCGTGCTGGTGGTGGCAGCCACGGTGACCCCAGCAGCAGGTGCTTGCGTGGCTGAGCGGGTGAGTACCGGCGTCTCTGGGGGAGACTGGTTGCCTGCTGAAGTGGACGGTGGCGGTTTACCTATAGTTACAGTCAGGCGGGGGTGGAAACAAGCAGAAACTGGATTGGATTCCTGAGCAGGGACTTCACATAGCAGGCCAGTTCTGAGTCAAATCCAGCAAGGCTGACTGCTGAAGGAACTCAGAGAGCCCTGGGCCCCCCAAGGACAAACATGGCCATACTGAGTGAACATCCCAGATGAAGATGTTACAAGCTTTCAGGGGGAAGAAAAAAGAGCAAGACCCAGCCCCTTGCTGAGCAGCCATTAACTAGTGGCTCAAACTGTGGGTAATGAGGATAGCCCAACAGCAGCCCTTCCTGAGGAGGAGCCCTTGGGCTAGGAAAGCCACTGGGTACACAGGCCCTGAGTGTCAAGGCTGCGCACAACAAATCTACTTTCCCCCTGAGACAAAGCCGCTGGGAGGGGTGGCCTAGACTTTTAAGAAAAGTATACTGCCCCAGGCCAGAGAACCTTTCCCAGACACATTCAGCCTGACTTCCTGCCCAGCCTTGCTTGTGTTCTGGATGTTTCTGCATAGCCCTTCATGGATTGTAAACAATACTGGCTTTCCTATCATGTAATGGTAAAGTTTAAGTCCTTTCTTCCCCTAGACAGTCTTTCTCTGTGTAGCCCTGCCTGTCCTGGAACTCGATCTGTAGACCAGGCTGGCCTTGCACTCAGAAATCCGCCTGCCTCTGCCTCCCAAGTGCTGGGATTAAAGGTGTGTGCCACCACTGCCTAGCAAGTTTAAGTCTTAAACGGGTTTAACTTTTCTTGAAGGTTTTCTTAAAATGTAAATTTGGGGGCTGGGGATGTAGCTCATGGGGGGGGGGGGCCAACTGTCTGCATTTACCTGGGCTTAAGTTGGGGGGTGGGAGGGCTGGGAGCAGAATGGAAGTCAGTGGGGAAGCTGCGCAGAGTACTGAACTCACATGTAAATAAAGGGGAGCCGGTAGCAGCTGCAGAGGTGCTGGCTTGCACTACATCCCCTCCAGGGTGCTCAGAAAACACACCAAACATGGTTACAAGGGGGTGGGGGCTTTGCCTTCATGGACCACACTCTGTGGCGTTACATGAGGATGATGCTTGTCCTTCCTTTTAGATTCAGATCACTCAGAAAAACACACGGTAATTCCAGGTAGGGTCTTGAGCAAGCTTTGGGTTACAAGAAGCCAAGGAAAATGGAAGAGAAGAGTTGTTGCCTCCTCTGAGGCAAAGGTTTCCAGCCTGGTGAGCACCCGCTCCTCTGGAGACCAGAGTTCAGTCAAGCTAGCGAGAAAGCTACAGGGAGGCAGGGCTGGCTGGTCTCCTTGGCTGGCCTGACGTACACCAGACTATCTGCCCTGGTACAGAAGCAACTCTGAGTGTGCCCATTCTACCACCTGGGTAGGTGTGCCTAGCAGGGTTCTAACGAGAAGCAGCAGCTGTGGTGGCTTGTGTTGCTGCCAGTGACATAAATGTCATTATCACTGCTGACTAACTGGCCGGACTCACTTTTAGAGCCTCAAAAAGGTCAGTTCCTCTCTCCTCACAGGCTTTGTGAGGTGTGCGTACTTGCTGGTGCTCTTCCCCGCCCCCCCCCCACCCCCCAGACAACAGTAGCAGAAACAAGCGCTCCAACAGGCCAGGGATGGCTTGTTATTCACAAGAGTACGGAACTTTCTTCAGTAGGATGAATTCCAGACATTTCTTCAATGGGGAGAATTCTGGGGTTTGGGGCGGGGTGATTTGAGAGCTTGGGGGGGGGGATTCAATTGTCTTTGTGAACTCTGAGGTTGTAACCAATCACTCTATGGAAATGCAGATTACCCACTAGCCCCATTAAATTACTAAGATTTGAGGTCAGTGCTTTGCATTTGTTAAGACCTAACTAACAGCACTGGGAGGGGAAACACCCTGCGACCGTAGTCACGGAGCTCCTTGGCTATAAAGGCTTTGTCTAAGTCAGCACTTGGGCTGGGTGGCAGCACTCCACAACTTCACTTCAGGACTGACCAGAGGAAACATAGCTGCGGAGATGCTGAGGGCCTTACCTCTGAGAAAGACCATCCACCCACCATCGAGGGGCATCAAGGGGACTCTGGTTTATAGAAGTAAGTTTTGCCTCAGACCTTGGAAAACTGCTCTGCTTGTGTTGTGTTCTAGAATCATCTTTAACTCAATCTACCATCAACTAGGGGTTTGCTAGATCTCCGCTGTTTCCCTGTTTCCTTCAGACACGACCTCCAGGAACAGCTCTGACAGGATTCTAATTGTTTCTTAAAATCATGAGCTCTAATTTCTGTAGATCTTCCGCTTTCACTGATAGAAAACTCACAACCAAAATGAAGGCTCTTGTTTACGATCCTCCAAAGTTGGGATGGCACGTTTTGCTTGGTCTGTTTTGTTTAAGAAAGGGTCTGATGCAAGGCTAGTCTTGAATCTCTTTATTCCTCTACCTCTAAGTGCTAGGATTAAAAGTTTGGGTTACTATACCTACCCTAGTACCTATTTGTATATAAAACCTTTCCCCTAAGCCAGGGCAGAAGGCAAATCAATCAAAATGTGATTTCAAGGCTGGCAAGGTCCCTAAGTGGGCAGAGGAACTTGCCACCACGGATGTTGCCCTAAGTTTAATTCTCAAGATGCACATGGTGGAAAGACCTGACTCTCATGAGTTGTCCTCTGGCCTACACACACACACACACACACCATTTTCTTTAAAGCCTGTTTCAGAAAGAATAGGAGGTTCTGAGTGTCACAGGAGAAGCAGAGTCCCACAGTTCTTACATGGAGGAAAGGTTCCGCCTAACAAGCAGGCTTTTTACCCCAGACAGATTTCTGAGGCCTTAAACAGGCCTCAGCGGAAGCTCCAGCCTCACCTCCCCCACCACAGGTATCTTGTTGCCATTTTCTCAGTCACTGGAATCTGTCTTTATTAAGAACTGAGATTCCAGACCACCCAGGTAGACACCCCATGGAGAAATAGTTCTCAAGGCCCAGCAAGAACTTGCTTTAAGTCAGCCTGCAGTAGGCGGGCAGTGGTGGCACACACCTTTAATCCCAGCACTTGGGAGGCAGAGGCAGGTGGATTTCTGAGTTCGAGGCCAGCCTGATCTACCGAGTGAGTTCCAGGACAGCCTGGGCTATAAGAGAAACCCTGTCTCGAAAAACCAAAAAAAAAAAAAAAAAAAAAGTCAGCCTGCAGTAATGCAAGGGACATGGACTCTTGACTTACACTCCTGGTTAAAAAGAGAGGTTAGCTCCTATCAAAAACAAGACACTCAGAAAAACTAAGCACCCTGCACCTAAGTGATGCCACCCCTCAGCCCTTGAACTCAGGAACTTAGTTATTGTCATACTGCAGCCAAAGTGATTGATTCTGTTGGGGAAAGGACACTCTTCACCCAGGCCCTTCCGACGAGGTTTCCAGCAGGCCGCACCTCTCTATTAGCACCAAGCCTCCAAGGATTCAAGCTGTGGTCTCAGCCTGGTAGGTTTCGCCCACTAGGGGGAGACACATTTGACGGACAGATGCTCCTGCCACCTAGTGGCTAGAGGCCAGAGTTGCACCTACACCATTCTCCACTGTAAGGAGCAAAGATTTCCAGAGAATCCCCATGCTCAGCTCCCTCAATGCAAGTGTAACAGACTGTCCAGTAGGGGCTGGATGAGGTGTCTTCCATTTTCAGTGCTAGCACAATTCCTAATGGATTTTGCTTTCCTGGTTTGAGGTCCTGGGTTCAATCACCAGCACAATTAAATCGGTACAGTGATAAATACCTATAATCCTATGACATGGGAGGTGGAGGCAGGGGGATCTTAGCTCAAGGTCATCCTTGGCTATGTAATTCAAGGCCAAACCGAACCATAGAAAACTTTAAGCAAGCAGACCTCAGGCTAAAGTGAGCTCCACAGGAGACAGGTACAAGCCCTGTGGAACATATTTTCCTGGTCCATTGTGTTGAGGATCAGGTAGGGCCATATGCAGCTCATGGCCGTTTGTACCCATCGGGAACCCTGAGATACTCCCTGTCACTTGGGTTGGTGGCGCAGTGCTCACCTACCATACACGAGTGCCGGGGCTTGACCCTCAAGCGCCAGCATCAAACAACACTCAACGCCTATGTGACTTACCATCCTGCTTAGGCGACGACACCTTGGGCTCTTTCTTGTTTTTTCGACCCTCTCGCCCAGAAGGATCTTCTCCTAAGTCTATGACAAGTTCACTCTCTGAGTCTGAATCCAAGCCCAGGTGCACTGTGGGAGAATCTGTTTCATCCTTTCCCTTCAGTTTGTCCTTTGTAGGATGAGGTGATGGCTTTGCTTTCTCTACAAAGTCCTTCTCGGGCTCAGGGCTGGTCTTGTCCTTGGCGGGTGTGGGGTCCGCCTTCTCGCTGACAGGAGAGTTACTCTTTGTTTCCTCTTTGACCTCCACCTGGTTTGTAGGCTTGGGCTTCCTTTTGATGGCAGGGGCCTCTTTGTCCACCCGACTCCCCTCTTTGTCCTCGGGGTCCTCTGGCTCGTTCTTGGGCTTCTGTTCCTCATCGCTGACGTACTCGCTGTCGCTGCTCTCTGACTTTTCGGAATCCTCGGAGTCGCTGTGTTCCACAGCCGTGTAAACATCCTCTGAGATCTCATTTATGCCTGAGGTCAAAAAGAAAAAAGTCAGCACAGACTAGCCCGGCAGCTAAGATGGGTGGGGAACGCTTACCATCCCAGTGGGAACAGCAAGGCAGGGGACTTTAGGATGATCAAGATCCAGAGAAGGCAGGGGACCTGCAGACTGTCAGGGTTTATACAGAGCTGACTCTTCGAGGCTGATAATGGAGAGTGGTGAGGGGGTATTAAAATAGAGGCCAGGAGAAGTCAAGTGTCTAGGCACAAACCAGCTGGGAACCAAACAAGAAGGCTGTGCTTCCCCAAGGGTAAAGAGGCAGCCCTAGCCGGGCGGTGGTGGCTCACGCCTTTGATCCCAGCACTTGGGAGGCAGAGGCAGGCGGATTTCTGAGTTCGAGGCCAGCCTGGTCTACAGAGTGAGTTCCAGGACAGCCAGGGCTACACAGAGAAACCATGTCTCAAAAAAAAAAAAAAAAAGAGGCAGTTCTAGAAGGCCAGAGCCTTGGTGCACGCCTGTGGGCGGGATCAGTGGGGTGCGGTACTGCACAGCCCTAAGCAATTCTCCCTTCATACTTCCCAGCTGGACATTGCTGGGAGCTTACCTGTACGCATTGTCTTTTTACCTTTTTTTTTTTTTAAAGATTAGAATTCTCTACTGAATTCACAACTGAAGAACTTCCACATAGGAATCAAGGCTATTCAAAGAGCAGAGGAACTGGTCAAACTGGGCTGTGGGCCTATACGTAGCAAGCAGCAGGTGGGTGAGGGGGGAAACTGCCAAACCCCCTTAAGTGTCGGCAGGTCTCCAGGTAACCTGGTGCCAAGCTGGCCTCTTGTGCTGCTGAAGTGTCTATGGGAACGCACTGTCCTTCCCACAAATCGGACAAGATGAAACCACACCTGTGTATGTCCCTCAAAGAATGCAGGCACAAGATAGCAGGTGTCATGTACACATAATCCATCCCCAAAAGTATGGAAACCAAACAACTCTTCTTAGCCCCCTCCAGGGCAACGGCCAAGTCTCTGCCATGATCTGTATGTATCAAAGAGAAACTTAGGAAGGACAAGAGCCATGTGGAGCCGAGGCCTGAGCAGTTGTATCTGCCTCCCCCGGGGCCCAGCAAACACAAGGTCCTTGATGGTGGTGCAGTCAGAGCTTTGTACGACTGGTAAGGGAGCACCAGGGACAGAGGCAGGTATCTGGGGACCTTGGACAAGTGGCTGGCTCAGTAAGCCTCAGTTTTCATCTGTTAAAAATGGAGCCGAGGGGTTATTACAGGACTCCCTCAATAGCACAGACACAGGACTCCGAAGAACGAGGTGGGTCCAGGAGGAGGCAAAGTAAGAAAATTCTTACTACCAATAATAGAGCTCCATGGAAGGACGCAAGAGCGACCCCAGAACAGCCCTTCAGTCCCGGCCTCTCAGTGTCCTGGTGGGACAGGGACCCTACCAAGGAGAACCGTGGTGCTGCCAAGAGATAACTTAGCCGGACACCCTTGTACTGTCTCAGCATTGAAGCGAAGGTCCCCATTACCCCCAGCCATTTCATGACATTAAGGCTGATGCCTGGTACCAACTGGGGACCTTGTCTGTGGGAAAAACATGTCGTGCAAGAGAGAGAGACCTGAAACAGTGGTGGGCCACTGCTGGACAGGACCACGTCCTGATCAGGACCGCTTAGCTACGCAACCTCAGCCCTCTCTTTAAACTCCACTGAAGACATTTTCCTTCTCTGCTTCTCACACTACCCATTTCTTTAAGTGGCCTGTGGGAGACACAGGCCTCGGCTGTCAAGGGCCTGGGCTTCCATCCTAAAAAAAAATCTTAGAGTCCAATGGTGCCCACTGGTCACCCTCCAGACAACCCCTTCTCACTTAAAGATCCAGGTTACCGACTGACACCAGAGACCTCTCTCGGAATGACCCTCACTCCTGAATCCCTTACGGGTCAAGCTTCTTCCTTAGGGCCCCTGGGTTAATTTATTACCCAACCCAGTAGTCCAGAACATAAGCTATATGCATAAATAAGAGCAGCCTTCCATGAAACAGGCTCCCCATTTTTGAAGATTCCATATTGGGCAGGGCTCACCTCCCAAGGACCCCTCATGCGTTGGAGCAAGAAGGAGATACAGGATGATAGCCAACAGAAAAGCAGTCAGAGAGGCTTCCAGAAGGTGAAGTGTGTGTGGTAGGGGGGTTGGGTGGGTCGAGGCTGACAACACCTGTAGGGCTGGCCTTTCTTTATAAGAACCATTCAAGAGCAATGCTATGACCCCTGAGTTTGGAGAGAAACCAGGTACACTTGAAGCATTGGTGATTTTGTACCCACACCTCAGGCTGGGAAAATACCCTCCACTGAATTCAAAGGCCCTTCTGCAAAACCTGAAACAGCAAATCTGAAATAATTCTGGACACAGTGCATTCTGACTATCCAGAGAGATGGAGATCAGGCAGCTGGTGAGGTCACAGAGAGTCACACCTTCTACCCAGGTGCGTCTCCCAGCCCAGACTAGTACCCCCAGTGCAGGCAGCCGGGACACACCTAGCTGTGCTTTGCAACTCTCTATGGTCTTGTCCAGGTTGAGCTGGAACCGGCTTCGAATCTGCCGCTTGGGAGAGATGAGAGGGACAGGAGCCGACTGCTGCTGGACCGACTCGCTCAGTTCCTTCAGGTCCATCTCGGCTTTGCTTCGATCTGGAAGACACCAGCACATCCTCAGTCAGACCAGGTTCTCACGCTGGGGGAGAGCACCCACCACCGCCCAGCGCTCAGGTGAGCAGGGCACTAATTACGTTTTTATATTCAACCACAACATCCAGCTGCCCAGAAAAAACCGTGTGCCCACCGTGGTGGAGAGCAACAGGAAACACGTGGCAGGCTCACTTCCCCCGTGAAACAATGGATTGAGTATAGAAAATGCTTATCCCAGCTGTTGGTAACATCTGTGGGGCTCAGCTACACTGAGAAAGCTGCCAATAATCTCTCCAACTTCAATTAATGGGAGGGAACCACCTGCCTGGCGAGAGCCTAGAGACAGCTTGTCTCCAGCAAGAGGCATGGTACCCCAAGAAAACACACACACTGAGCATGCCCCTACAGTCTCCAGAGGCTTAACTTTCATTCCCAGTCTGTCCTGGTTAAGGACTGAACACCAAAGATAGGAATTAGGAGACCTGTCCTTTCTAGCTTGGGCGTCAGCACCCAGGGCAGGTCAGGAGAGGCAGGGGACGACTCTCCTGTGGTACTGACCTGGGCTGAAAGCTCTTCTCAGTGAGCCAGGTCAGCCTGACACTCTGGTTCCCTGGCTACCTCTGGCAAGGTGCTGGTTGTCAGACCAGCTAGACCAGATCTCTAAAAACCAGGGAGTGCACAGTTTCTCAGTGCCCAGAACTCTGGGAGAAGAGAGGAAGAGGCTTGAAAGCCCTTCAGTTGACCTGTTCTCCCCAACATCCCCTCCAAACCACCCTAGCTGATCCCAGATTCTATCAGTGACAAAAACACCACCTCTAAGCCCGTTCAGAGGGATCCAAGCTATCTCTCTGCTACCACAAACTCCAGGGCCTCCCTCCACCGCTGTCAGAGAGGTCACTCGGCAGCGATCTGAAACCTGGACAGGAAGAGCTGTTCTCTTTGGTTTTGACCCGAGCCAGACCCCTTCCCTTGGCACAGCCCCTGCCAACCCATACGTGCACAGACAGAAAGGTCCAAACAGCTGTAACCCATTCATTACCACAATGATGGCCCCACTGGGAGAGAACCCCATCCCCCCAACACACAAGACCATGGACACACAGATGTATGCACCAAATGTTCACAGCAAATGGAGACACTACCCTTGTAGGTCAAGACGTGTCCCCACAGGTCGGTGTGTGCACACACGAGTTCTTGTGTGCATCTAGGATCAGCTGGAATAGTTTGTATGTGATCCAGAAATGAGCAAGCCCCTCCTGCAGGTCTGCTCCTGCCTTCTGGGCCTAACAGCCATCTTTGTGACTTCCTCTACATGTGTTTTGTGAGCACACTCAAGCATGCTTCAGGGTGTCTTCAGAGATGAAGAGTGAACATTTAAGTCTTCCAGAGAAAGATGGAAAACTATTCTCCTTCACTCAACCTGTGTCCCCAAGCACCTGAAGCCACTACCTCAGCTGGCCTAGAGGAGGGCTAGACACTGAGGTTGGGAACCAAACAGCAGACCAGGAAACAATTTGCCTTAACTACTGTGAGCCTACGTCACAGGGAAGGAGCCAGACCTTCTGGTCTGACAGTGTGACTGTGGACATGTGTGGGAGTGCAAGCGTCTGTGAGGAGACATTCTCCTTAGCGGTCCCTTATGGTGGGTGACTGCCAGGAGTTCAAGGACAGCCTGGCCTACCTAGCAAACAGGGTAGCTTTTGCCTACTGTGTGCCTATGTCTCAAAGGCTAAACTCTAATAATCCAAAGTACCCATTTTACAAAATAAGGCATCCCCTGGTCAGTAAGCTATTTTATCCTGTAAGAACAGATCACCCAATGCAGGAGAGCTGGGATCAAGTCTAAGGACAGGCTTTTGGAGACTTAACCGAGACATAGTAACCCATCCTGGAGTGCTGGCTGGGGTGTGCCTCTTCTCTGCGGGAGAAAGCGGTGGCTCTTCTCATCACAGGGCATCTTCCTGGCCCTTCTAGACTGGGACGGGCTCCAGCTCCCCTAGGCTACCAGCATTTTGAATGTTTTCAGCTCCAGCTATAAATGGAAACCAGAGAGAACAAATAGCCCTGCTAGATAAAGCCGCACGCCTCCATTTCTGTGAGGGAGCACAGCTGAACAGCGAGCGACTTCACAGGGCAACCTGGCAGCATCTCTAGATGTGAAGCATGAGGCCTCTGGCCCGCCCTTTCTCTTCTATGGCTTTCCCTTCCACACGGGCAGAAATGCCTACACTGCAGCTATGCTGAAATGGACAACTACATCATGCCCATAAGTAAGGATGAAGGCTCCAGATCACCCACAAATGGCCCCGGGATAAACAGGATTGCCGAAACACAGCAGGGGAAGATTTCTAGGTTCGAATCAAAAAGCAACCCGTTCTAGGAAAAGGAAACCAGGGAGCCTTGGGGTAGGGGGAAAGAAATGGGAGAGGAATGTGAATACAGTGTTCCTGGGGCTCTCTGGCACAGACAACGTGGGACACGAGGACATAGGGCTAAGGTAGACTTAGTCCTAGTGGTGGGGAGTGCTGTCGTGTAAAAACCCCGCTGCCCACTACCTCTAGGCGGGTGCACCCACATCCTAGAGGACAAACATTGCCAGAGGAGACTCAGACCTCAGAACCAGAGGTACAGACCCATAAAGGAGAAGGAAAGCAGGTGGCAGTGTCACCTGGGGGAAGGGGTGGACACAGGCTCAGACCTGCAGGGATACTCTTCCCAAGGCTGTACCCCTGCCGGAGGACACGCTGGCCTGTCCAGAGTGCCATCTTCCTGGGCTACCCTGTTCCATGGACACAAAGACAGCTGGAGGGCCAAAAGTTCAAGGCCTGCCTTGATTTATACGGTGAGTTCCAGGTCCATATGAGCTACATGACAGCCTGTCTCTTTTTTTTTTTTTTTTTTTTTAAAGATTTATTTATTTATTTTATTTATGAGTACACTGTAGCTGTCTTCAGACACACCAGAAGAGGGCATCGAATCTCATTACGGATGGTTGTGAGCCACCATGTGGTTGCTGGGATTTGAACTCATGACCTCTGGAAGAGCAGTCAGTGCTCTTAACCGCTGAGCCATCTCTCCAGCCCGACAGCCTGTCTCTTAACAAGACAGGAAAGGCCCAGAGGAGGATCAGCCATGAAAGACATCACACAACCAAATCTACTACCCCAGGTCTAGCCCTGGGACCTGGAAGGAGAGAGCAACTCCCCAAGCTGCCCTTTGACCCCCACAGACTCAGGCCAAAGGGGGGAAAAATGTGTGACAGAGGAAGAGAGGGGCCTTTAATCCCAGCACTCAAGAAACAAGGGCAGGCAGATCTCGAGTCCAAGGACAGCCAAGTTTACATAGTAAGACCCTACCTTATGGGGGAGGGGGGTTAAATAAGCCACCACAAATCTGTAATCGAACCCTGCAACCTGGGCAATCACTGGTTTGCCTCACATGTCTCCAGTTTGGCTTTCTTCATGTGCTGCTTTGCTGGACCAGGATTTCTCACCATCAGTTGCCAGGACGCTCAATCCCTCAGCACTCCCCTCTACCCTTTGACCTTCCCTCCCAAGCACAGCATTCTCCAGGGTCCCCAGCAGAACCTCTACTTGTGAGACTAAAATCCCTCTCCAGGAGCCCACTCATGTATCAAATGTTCTTACCCCAACTGACTGACATGAGACATGTACCCAAGAAGGAATTTTGGGAAGAAGGAGGTAACAGGACAAAAAACAATGGGTTTCCTAGAGCCACCACCCCTGGACCCACACCTCAAGCTTCGAAGATTTAGGGTATCAGAAGGATGCCTAGTGGGCTCCGTGGTTTGCAGAAGGAGCTATTCTTGCCAGGCATGATTGGCAGAGAAGAGGAAATGTCACCATAAGAACGCCTCTGTTCCACAGAGCTGTTCAGAGTGTGAAGGTGGGAGGAAGCCCTGTGAAAAGAAGCCACACTTCTAGAACAACAAATGTCCCCAAGACGACGAGCGGGTCCCTTCTGAATCAAGTGAGAACCAGCTGGTGGCTCTGGACTGAGTCCTAGCAAGGACCTTGATTGTCCAACTCCAGCCAGGCTGCAGATAAAAGGTAAGTAAACTGGGCTACACCTGATAGCTGCTGGTCCTGTCACCCTGGGAACAAGTGGCATGGCCTGGATGGTGCTGTGAACTCACATGACACCATACACAGGTGGCCTCCCTCCCCCCCAGGGAATGTTCTATCCCAAGGTGTCCGGGATATCACAAACCCCTAGAGTTGCTTCCTCTGGCAGTGGCTTCTCTCTGTGGCCTCCAACCCCTGCTCTTCCCTTCACTGATCCCTACCGGCTCCAGTGGCCCAGAGTCCGTGCTCCTGAACACTCTTAAAACCGGTCTCAACCTCTTCGATGTGCTGAGGTCATCATAAGCGCCAGGCACTAAGCTGCACCTCCACCCTTTAGCCACTAGGTGGCAGCATTCAATTATTCAGAAATAGGGAACTACAGGCCTTCATCAGTCAACCTTAAAGATCCTAGAAATTCTAACCTCCCTGAGATGCAGGCCGCCCTAGGCTGCATAGAACCTAACTGCATGCTGGAGCTACAGGAATAAACCTTGTCTCAAACGCACACACTCACAACCCATAGCAAGTGGAACCAAGCCTGGTGGAGCATGCTAGTAACCACAACACTTGAAAGGTAAAAACAGGCTCATGAGATCCAGGGTCTGAGCTACAAGGCAAGCTCAATTCAGATGAAAAATTCACATTTTAAAAAACGAAGGAATGGCCACAGAGCTAGCTCAGTGGTTAAGCACGCTGGCTGTACTCACTGGAGGCCCAGGAATGGTTCCCAGCACTGACATCGTGGCTTACAGACATCTGCAACACAGAGAAACCCTGTCTCGGAAAAAAAAAAATACTGGCCCAGGATAATTTGTGGTAAAACACCTTTGCAAGTCAACGACCTGTCCAAGGAAGCCCCTCACAGGAAGTTCAATGTCTAAGAGCCACTGGCAAAAGGACAAAGGGTGGGAACTAGAAGCGGTCACTGCTGACACACACACACTTTACGACATGTCACTGACCAAGGTTTAGGTTCAGGATGCTCCCGGTGGTGGAGGTGGAGGTCTTGTCGGGCTTCGTAATGATGGGTGCCGGCGCTTGTGGAGAGAAAGGCTTCGGGCTGCCAGACAAGCTCCCTGCTTGGCCCGTCTTGGTGGAGGCTGGAGACGCTAGAAAAGTGTGTCAGGGTTAGAAGCGGGACTTAGAGATCAGTAAACCAATAAAGCTCCCAGGTTTAGGAGTGAGACAGGAGAGAAGGGACACAGGGTGCTTCAATGACACAAGTTCAGAGTCCTAGATGGGATTGGTAAGATGGGCAGCCTTGAACTGCCAACAAGGGACTCTCACCATAGTGGGCTGCTGGGCCTGGAACTCAAGGAGACTGCCCTAAGACAAATGATTAGGCAGCCACTGAGTTTACATTGGCCCATTCACAGGTGTAAGCCCTGAGCAAACCCCTCATGCCATATGTACAGGTCAGGAGCAGGCTGGCATGGCAGCCGTTGGTGAGAGGGAGCCTGCCCCACCTGCCTCTGCAGCCCTAGGGAGGTACAGACCCTGACTCAGAGTGCACAAAAGCAAGCCCGGGCATCAGGTGCAGGGATAGAGACCTTGGTAAATTCTCTCCTTTCTCAGGTTCAAACTCCTATATGGACAGGCCATATTCCAATGCCTGAGGTGTTGAAGCAGGGAGAACAAAGACCAAACAAAGCATTTAAAGGGGCCAAGAGCTTCCTAAGGACTAACCCAGTCCTGACTGGTTACCCTAACTGCTTTACACATTTTGGGGACTTCCCAGCAAGGCTTCTGAGCCCTAACAAAGAAGCACTTAGTCAATTGGCCTGAAGTGAGGAGGTCCTGTGGAGATCTGGTCCTGACAGGAAGTCATAAATGGATCAAGAAGACAGGAAACAAGACACCACCAGAGACTATAAAAAATGTAGGCTTGCTGTGGCAGTTCTGTAATCCCAGCAGTGAGGAAGCAGAGCCAAGAAGATCAGTTCAAGGTCATCTTCAGCTACGTAGCAGGTTGCCAGCCCACCAGCCCTGCAGTGAGGCCGGGTCTGAGGAGGAAAGCTGCCGTCCTCTGCTGGGTAGGTATGACTTTGGGGTGTGTGTGTGTGTGTGTGGTGTGAGAGAGAGAGTCCAGGTACCCACTGAGCCCATAAAGCTTGGATACCTCAGAACCAAGGGGATGTGAGCGCTGGCAAGCATACCCACATCCTCAGTATGTGCTGGATACACTCTTGATCCCTGAGAGATCTCTCCAGTCCTGCGATTTTGGTTTTTAGTGTAAGGGAAAGACTCGAGACTAGAGAGACTTGGATTCAATCAAAGATGGACACTTAATGGTTCAAATCCAAGCTCCTACTGATTAGCTGTGACTTGAGATGAGGCGCCTCTGAGGAACGCCTTGGGAAGAGGGACGGCCCACCAACAGGGTTGACAAAAGCATCTATACCCATTGGGTTACAGTGACACTGACTCTAAGCAGCCAAAGGGGTTGAGAGCACTGAGCATCCAGGAAATTAGTGTCAGTACGAGCTCTCTCTGTTGCCGACTTCCCATTTCCTTACTAGGTGGCCCTCCATGGAGACCAGTGGTCTTCAGTTCTTGTACTGCCCTTACTAGTACATACTGGGCAACATATGCAGTTCATTCTGCTAGCCATGGCCAGGGATGCAAAAGCAGCAGGCACCTAATGCCACAGAAGCCAGATGTTATGAGATAACCCTACAAGGGACAGGAAAACCCCCTAAATTATCATCTAGGGACTGGAGAGGTTAGGAATGGCTGCTGTTCTTACAGAGGGTTCCAGTGCCTGCACCCACATGGCAGATCACAACCATTTTGAATTCTAGTTCCAGGGCATCTAAAACACTCTCCTGGTCTCTGCAGGTCTTGTTTGCACACGGAGCACAGATGTACATGTAAGCAAGCACTAAGACACACAAGAATTTTTTTGTTTTGTTTTTCTGAGGCAGGGTTTCTCTGTGCAGCCCTGGCTGTACTAGGACTTATTTGTAGACCAGGCTGGCTTCAGACTCAGAGATCTGTATGCCTTTGCTTTCTGAGTGCCCCACTACAGCCCAGTTCTCATGAAATTTAAAAACATCCAGCTCTAACTCTAGTTCTGGGGAATCTGACATCCTCTCTGGCTTCCTGGGGTAACGCATGCATGTGGTGTGCTTATCCACTTACGGGCATGCAAGCGAGATATGCATAAACGCTTTTAAAAATAAACCTTAGACATAAATAAGAAAGAAGGAGTTGGCGTCTGGTCTCAAACGCTGCCTCTGACTTGAGAACCATCTGAATCATGGAGCAAATGTGGAAATCCTTTCCCCGCTCTGGAAATGGAACTGGAGCAGCAATTAGATACATGTCCGCTAGGCCAGCCCTAACACACGTAAAAAAAATCTGAGGATGAAGTTTGGTAAATATCCAATCCATTTTACCATAGGGATTAGCAGACTGCCTGACCTAGTAACCAGGCAGGCAGCCTTCCCTTCCCCAGGGCTGTTGCTGGGGTGATCACTCTTATTTCCACACTACTGCAAGAAACAAGCCGGACTTGTTACATTAAGAAATGAGAATGAGCCGGGCGGTGGTGGCGCACGCCTTTAATCCCAGCACTTGGGAGGCAGAGGCAGGCGGATTTCTGAGTTCGAGAGTTCGAGGCCAGCCTGGTCTACAGAGTGAGTTCCAGAACAGCCAGGGCTACACAGAGAAACCCTGTCTCGTAAAACCAACAAAGAAAAAAAAAAAGAGAGAGAATGAGTGAGCCATTGTGTCAGTGTGCATAGGTGTTTGTGTGGAAAGGACACGTGCACATTTGTACACACATGTGTGGTGGCCTGACAGATCTTTCCTTAGGTACTCTCTACAGATTGCTTATTTCAGTTTTGAGACAAGATCTCCCATTAGCCTGGAACTTCCCCCAGAGCAGACTAGGCCAGCTGCTGCCCCCTGCCCAGCATAGACCACCACGCCTCAAATTCTTACATGGCTTCCAGGCAGTGAATCAAGTCCCCATGCTCACAAGACAAGCACATTATTGAGACATCAAGCCCCAAATCAGGCATCTTTAAGCAGAATCACTACTACTACACGAATGTTTTAAATAATTCATTTACTGCTGTTTGTGATAGCTAAAAAAGATCCAGGGAACGGACTGCCCCTGGGGATTAAAAACCAAAGGTTCTCTAGCTGTGCCCTCACTCAGTAATAAACAAGGAGGTTTAAGAAGGTTCTGCTAGCCGGGCGGTGGTGGCGCACGCCTTTAATCCCAGCACTTGGGAGGCAGAGGCAGGCGGATTTCTGAGTTCGAGAGTTCGAGGCTAGCCTGGTCTACAGCGTGAGTTCCAGGACAGCCAGGGCTACACAGAGAAACCCTGTCTCGAAAAACCAAAAAAAAAAAAAAAAAAAAAAAAGAAGGTTCTGCTTGGGCCTTTAGAGACACCATGAGGAGGTCCAAGCACAAAGGGCAGCAGGAACCCAGACACAGAAAACAAAGGTGCCACTGCACACAGACAGCAACTAAGTGCACCCTGTGTCCTCTAAAGTCAAGTTTAAAAATGTAAAAGGCGGGCCAACTATATGGCTCAGTGAATGAAAGTGCTGTGGCCAAGCCTTAGGAGCAGAGGTGCTGTGTTTGTTTAAGGCTTCCCCTGCTGGAGCAGCAATTGGACCATACTGTGTCAGAGCCAGCTGACAAGAAGCCCCATGCCACTGTAGTTCAGGCTTTGGGGGACTTTAACAGAACACAAGCCAGCAATGCTAGCCCACACCTCCAATCAAGGGTCACCTGGGGCCAGCAAGACAGCTCAGTTGGTAAAGGCACTTGCCAGCAAGTCTAGTGACCTGAATTTAATACCTGAGACACACACAGTGGTAAAAACTGACTCTGGCAAGATGTCCTCTGACCTCCACACACATGCAGAAGTGTGTGCATGCACACACACACACACATGTTCTAAGTGTGAATGCCACCTAGCGAGGCATGGCACACCAGTGCACATGAGCACAAGCTCAGAGGAGGTCAAGATGACAACAGGTTCTCTGCTATTCCTTGACCCTATCACCTGTCAATCAGAGTCCACTCCCTTCATGACTGTGGGGAAGGGCCTGAGGTTCAAATTCATAGCATCCCGTGCAACTGCTCAGGAGAGCTGGCCATGGGAGGGAGGGTTAGTTAGTGACTTAGTATTTGTCATGGACAGCCATTTTATGGCAACTATTGATTTCACAATAAAGTGGACTCTGTGAAAACACTTTCCTGCCTCCCTGACAGCAATCCCATGGTGGGAAGCCAAGCCGAAGGCACCATTAGCTCAGAGGGTCTGTAGGCTCAGGACGGTACCATATCACACATTAGCATTGTCAGTGGGGTCTCTAGGAAATAGAGCAAATGCTGATAAAACCCGCCTACCCAAGTGGTCCATATTCGGGGGTGGAGATGGGGGCATTGAAGCCACTTTGTTAAAGGCAGGAGAATCCTGGGCTGTGGTAGCCACAGGCTCCCTGCGGGACAGAGGGCTGCTTGGAAACTGAATCTGCTCACAGGAGCAACAGATACAGGATGAGCTATGGAGTCTTCTAAAGAAAACTACAGTCTCGATGCCAGTGAGATGACGCAGTGACTAAAAGTACCAGCCATTGAACCTGTCAACCTGAGTTCAATCTCCTAAGAACACACATGGTAGAGACAGAGTCCCGACCTCTGCAAACTGTCCTCTGACCCTCACATGAATGTGCATGCGTGTACACACACACACACACACACACACACACAGGCTGCACACCTTTAATCCCAGCACCAGGGAGACAGAGGCAGGCAGATCTCTGTAGGTTTAAGGACAGTGAGACCCTGTTACAAAAGGAGGGAGGGAAAAAGGCTCTAAATTCTCATACTTAGACATGCTAAGGGGCACTCTGGATTCTGAAAGCTGCTTATGTGGTTTTTCTACTTTAGAGCATGACGAAGTTTTCTGACATTTTACAGGGACCCCAGCCTGATCCCAACTGTGCTATCCCTGACTGTGGAGGTGTCTAAATGAATACACGCATTCTCCCTGCGCTGACTAGCGTCTGCCATCAATACAAACAACAGAGGGCAGGAGGAAGCAGGCAGGCTTCAGGAGGATTTGGCACGTGACAGGGTCCTTATAGTCTATAAGAGAGCTGGCAAACCTGAACCTAAGGGCCTCTGGGCCCAATCTGTTCCCTGTCCCTGTGTGGCCTGCTATTTAAGAAGGGTATAGAACATTGGGGTTGGGACATAAAAAATTCAATAGGTCTTTTTCTGTGTTTTGCTTGCATCTACGTCTGTGTACCATGTGTATGCCTGGTGCCCAAGGTCAGCCAAGGACATCAAATCCCCTGGAACTGGAGTTACAGATGGTCAGGAGCCGAGTGGGTGATGGGAAGTGAATCCAGCTCCTCTGCAAGAACAACCAGTGCTCTTAACCACTGGGCTGTCTCTTCAGCCCAACTCAATAGTTCTTAAAGCATGCACTTAGAAGAAATTCAAGCTTCATTACCCACCAGCCGACACCATTTAAGCTTTATTGAAACTCAGCTCTAAATGTCCAGAGCTGCAGCCATGACAGAAACACAGAACTACCCACTATGTGGCTGCCGTGGGCCCACTCAGGAAGGGGTGCAATTTGTAAGAGTGGAACAATCTGAAAGTCACCCTCTCCTTTCTTTGTTGAGGATTTGGCTTTTGTTGTGTTTTAATATTTAGTACAGGATCTCATGTAGCCAAGGCTACCCTCCAACTCCTACTCCCCCTGCCCCTACCTCCCAAAGGCTGGGAAAACCACACTGGCATGTGCTGTCACAGGCTTCTGATATGGCCACCTTATGGGATTAGCAAATGTCAGGCATGGCGAGGTGAGTAGGTTGTGTATTTTTAGAATAGAAACTTTGAAATCTAAGTTCTCTTCTTTAAAAAGAAGAAGAAAAAAAATCTGTCAGTGAACAAGGAATTTCGCAGCAAAGCTCGATGCCACAAATCCCACCCAAGGGAAGACAGACACTAAATTAAACACAACCATTCTTATATTTCTATAAAGCTCTATTTTTTTTTTTTTTGAAATTCGGAACAAGAGAGCAAAGGGGAGCTTGCACACGAACACACTTTATTTTATGATGTGCTAACTTCAAGAAGGTTTCAATGGGGCAGTTGTGGTGGGATACACCTGTAAGCCCAGCACAGGGGAGAGGGAGCCGGGAGGACCCTCCTACCCAAGACCAGTCGGCCTGGACCATTCCTTAGGTCACCCCCCTTCATTGTGTCTCTTCTCAGATCCTCGTACACAGCACACTAGAGATCACCAGGAAACATATTTCTCTGGTCAACGCTGCCCTGGGCACTGTCCTTGTCCTACTGTGAGGTCCTGACTCATTCTGTTCTCAACAGAGCCTACATATAGGAGAGCCTACACGTAGTCAGTTACGGTTGCCATAGTAAAGGTGGGAAGGCTAAGGTGTAGAGACATTAAATAAGTTCCCCAAAGTCACATCAGCAGAGGGGGAGTTCCGCAATTAGAGACCAGTGTCATATCCAAAATACGACACAGAGCTGGACAAAAGCCAGCCCTGATGGAGGTGTGATAACAGGGCAGGGGGATCAATTTTCACCTCATTCTCTCCCCATCTAAGTTAACCCGAACACAAAGGGATCAAAAACTAAGCCTTCAACTACATCGTACTGAGAACAGTCACTGGGCACTGCTGTGAACAGCCAAGAGGCTCTGACAGTGGCCTCGAGCCCTGCAGGGTCTGGGGCCATTTCCACCCGCTTCTAAGAATAGACCCAGCTGGCCTGTGGGAATACTTCCCTCGTCTGTGGGATCTGGTGCTGCCTGCCTGCTTGCACCTATAGGTGAGGCATGCACGGACGCCAGAATGCACCAAGTGGCCTCCTACCCAACTCTCCCAACTGGGGCTGACCTGTGCTCTTATCAAGGAAGTCCATGGACTCCTCACTTGCGCTGAAGTGGCTGGATGGGGCCTTCTTCTCGGGGTCCTGCTCCACATCGGAGCCCGTGTGCACAGAAGAGTTCGTACTGGTGGGGGAGCGAGGCATGTCGGACAGGGAGATCCTGCGGCCAGCGCCCCCGCTCAGAAGGGGCTTGCTCAGAAGGATCTTGGGGGATGCTGTCATGTCAAAATTGAGCTTCACCTTCTCTTGTTTGTCTGTCTTGGCAGTGCCGGCGCTGGGGTTGCTGGGATCAAGCAGCATTTGGTATTGGCTATTGGGAGTGTAGGGCGTCCTGAACGGGGAGTAATTAAAAACCCCAAACTTCCTCCGTATGTTCTCCACGTAAACTTCCATCTCTTGCATGGCGCTGTTGAAGATACTTTTAGTCTTTTTCACAGAAAAGGGGATTTCTTTAGACATGAGGTAGCAATTATTGACGGGAACCCAGGCTCTAGGATGGTGAGAGAGAGAGAGAGAGAGAGAGAGGACTCTGAGTCAGATTCAGTAATTTCCAAGGTAGTTTACTTTTTTTTTTTAAATTTTCTTAATGCAAACCAAATTAGCCTGGTGGGTGCCTGCCAAGATTCTTAAACATGGGGCCTCCTTTTTAAATAACTGACTTGTTTTGAATGGCTAATGAATGATCCACTTCGCAGAGGTATTAAGGATAGAAGGAACAACAAAACTTAGCCAGAGATGTGAAAGGGCTCCACACACTTAGCCATCCTAATCACTTAGAAACAAAATGGATGGCTCAGCAGGTGAAGCCACAGCTGCCAAGCCAGGCGACCTGCGCTTGCAAAGCCAGTGTGGAGAGCACAACCTCCCTTTCCAGCTGTCCTTTGGCCTCTACACATGCGGCTGTGGCACTTGGATAAAACTATAATCCCTTTGGTTTTCTGCTGTTTCTGGGTAAGGAAAACAGTCTTCCAGGACACGTCTGAAGAGGGATGTTTTCCCCGGATCTTGCTGCGGTGCACCTGCAGGTGCACACTTCAGTTTTGAGGCAGAATCTCACTATGTTGTCTAAGTTGGCTTGCAACTCGGGATGCTTCTGCGTCAGCCTCCTCAGTGCCTAGTCACGCCTGACAACATTTGAGAAGATAACTCTTGCGACTACTGCCTTTGGCTTTGGGGTGAACACACTCCACAGACCTTTTGCTACTTCAGGGAGGACCCGTCCTCCTCCATCAACCCCCAGAATATTTTTGCAGAGACCCAGAAACCAAAAACAACAGTGGTACTTTTTCCAGTACCAGCAACACCCACAAACCCAGGAAAATCTGAGAACACCCCAACCACCACCCTTGTGGAGGAGGAACACCAGAACATCCTGCTACTAGTGCACTCCCCACTCTACAGCCTCAACCTAGTGGAGACCTTTAAGGGTTCCTGGACCTCAAACCGAAGCCTGGTATAAAGCCATGGGATGTGGGAGAGCCCAGGGGAGAGAAGATCATTGCTCCAATAAGAACCATCTGCCCAGCTATGTCCAAAGTGCCGACTTAGGACACTGGATCCAGTCTTCCTGGTCTTTGAAGAGAAACAGTGAGATACTGCTAGAGCATTTTACACCATGTCAGCAGCTAGCATTGAATCCCTACATCTGAAGAGGAAATGGTACCCAGGGAAGGGGCCTGTCCAGAGGCAAAGTGCAGCACGAGGCCTGGCTGCCAGTGAGAACCCCCGAGCAGACAGCTGATCTCGGCGTGTAAAAGCGCACAGCCCCCCTCCCTGTGTGTGCTAGGGACACCTTTCTGCTGGGACCTGAAGATCTTTGTATTCAGAAAGGTGGAGTCGACCAAAGTTGAGCAGAAACCAAATACCCGGGGCTCTGGGCTAGGTAAGGGAGAGAGAGGTCAGAGTCATTCGGGTCCCCAGCCCCGGACACTTCCTACCTAGGAGAGCACTAGGATGGCAAATGCCACACCTGTGGGTCAGCACCAGGAGCCTCCCCTCAGCCATGGCCACAGGTCTGAAGTCTTTGTCCCACTCTATGCTGGTATAGTTTCAAGGTCACAACCGTCTAGCCACCCACAGGTTCCCAAGTCACTTAAGGGGCCTAGGCAAGAATAAGCTCTGTGGCCGGGCAGTGGTGGCGCACGCCTTTAACCCCAGCACTTGGGAGGCAGAGGCAGGTGGATTTCTGAGTTCGAGGCCAGCCTGGTCTACAGAGTGAGTTCCAGGACAGCCAGGGCTACACAGAGAAACCCTGTCTCAAAAAAATAAAATAAAACAAAACAAACAAAAAGAATAAGCTCTGTGTCCTTAAAAGGAAACAAGACATTTGTTCACACAGAAAGCCTGAGGGAGGGGCCCCGGTGGCCTCCTGTCCAGGCTTCCCTGAGGGACACTGGGCAAGGTGTTAAACTCTAGGGCCAAGTTTTCTCATCAGTCAGACTGAAGTGAAGGCAGTTCCTTCGTAGGGTGACAAAGTGCCAGGTGCCTGGGCACACAGGGGTGTCTGTAACCCTAGCCTTCAGGAGGCGGAGGTAGAAGGAGGAGGCGGAGGTAGAAGGAGACTAGGTAACCTGGCTGCTCCATGAGATATTACTCAATCACACAGTGGGCACACGACAGCTGACAGTTATTTTTCCTTAAGCCTTGCACTCATCTGGCCTAAGAGTTCCTATATTTTTAGATAATGGTACATATATCTAAGATCAAGCAAACAATTCTTTGAAGAGGGGCCTGCAGAGCCTCGCATGACCTGTGCTGGAGCCTCCATGGGTTTACTCTCAGGCGGATCAGCTTGCAGTAGGGAGTTCTGGGGTGTTTCTTAGCCTGACCTAGCTCACTAGCACACGCCTACGCTTTCACTTTGATGCTGCCAAGTGAAGAGTCTGTTGTCTGTCTCTCGTGGGTCCCTACACCATCAGTTTTCCCACATCTTAGTAAGAAAGGCTGCAGATGAGCCCGCCTGGATTGACTTTAAGACTGTCTAGGGCCAGGTGTGGTGGCACACACCTTTGATCCAGCACAAGGTGGGCAGAGGCAGGTGGACCTCTGAGTTTGAGGCCAGGCTAATCTACATAGGGAGTTCCAGAACAGCCATGATTACACAGAGAGACCCTGTCTCAAACAACAAAACAAACAAACAAAAGTCCATCAGAGCCAAGGCTATACAGAAAAACTAACAAAACAAACAAAACAACCACCACCACCACCAAACAACAACAAAATCCTGTCTGGGGAGAGAGGAGAGCTCACCCAGAACCAAGAATTTCCCTGGGGAGAATGGGCACAGCAGTTCCCAGGGATGGGGAATACCTTTAGCCCTCCGAAGTGTTGGTATCATGGTACCCTAGACTGTTCACACATCCACAGTGGGGCAACCTTGCCCAAAGGAAACCCGCCAGATTAGCATAGCCCCTCAGAAGAAACAGAAAAACACTGAGGATGTGGAGAGAGACCCGGCTCTTGGCCAGCGCCCAGGACCAAGGAATAAATTGCATGTCTCAGACAACAGCCTGAGCATAGAGCACAAGCATTGTTTATGGGGCCTGTGTCCCCAAGGCCAACTTCAGGGGCGTGGGCAGGGTGGTCACACCAGAAGGATCGGAATCCTGAGCTCCTTGGTCTGGCTCCATCTGGTAAGTGGAGACATCTGTTGTGCCACACACTAATGTGGACCCCAGTAGGTAAATCCACACACAGGGCCGCCCCACAGGAGAATCATAACCCATTAGGATGGTGAACGCCTCAAGTGTTCTTCGATGGGACACCTATGGCACAGCCAGCCGCCAGCTCCTCCTGCTCCAAAAACAGAAAGCAAATTCTTACTTGTCTTTCCTCTGAGCGCCCAGTTCAAACCACTAATTACAGCCTGGCTTCTGTAGGCACAGCCTTTCACTGGCCTCTGCCCCTCTAGCCAGGTCCACCAGTGTCTTCGCCAGGCACTTCCTACAGATGGGAGACTAGCATACTCAACAAGTATCTGCCTGCTTGCTATCGTGCTGCAGCTCGGAAGAGCCGGAGGGAGCACATTCCTTTACTGAAGGAATGCTGAAATTCAGGACGAACGCCACCAGTACATGGAGGGGACTGTGCGGAGAGAGCTCACATGGTAGAACGTTTACCTAACATGAAGCAAGCCTGGGTTCCATCCCCAACAACATATTGCCGGGTGTCCAGGGGTATGCCTGCAATTCCAACACTCAGGATGTGAGCGAAGAACACCAGGAGTTCAGAGTCACCTTCTAATATAAAACAAGTTGAGACCGGCTGAGGCTACATGGGCCCCTCCCCCAAGGGGGTGTATAAAGATTAAACAGTGATGCACCCTGCCAAAGCCAGTGCCACCTCAAGGAACTGCTACCTGTTCTGACAGGGGAACAATGGGAAATTCTGCAAGAATCTCAATCTTTGTAATATTAAGATTTTTTTTTTCTTTGCTTTGAATCATAAGCCAAGCACAATCTGACAGAGAGTGAGCATGCTAATTCAGATGCTGATTATCACTTTAAAAAAAAAAAGTATCTATTATCTGTGTGGTGCATGACTTTAACTCCAATGCATTCATACATCTTCTCAAGATGAGGGGGTGGGGCCATACTCCCAAAGAATCTCTGCTTCTTCATTTAATTATAAGGGACCTTGTGTGTTAAGAGGTGTCTCTGACTACCTGTTGTTCACAGGCAGGCGTGGTGGAATGACTCTGTAACGCCATTCAGCATGTGCAGGAAGGAAAGGGGAGGCTGGGGAGGCTGGGAGGGACGATTCAGTCTGTCAAAACATCATCCCCTCTGTCATTTCCCAGTTTAGATACTCAGAAAGGGGAATTGTGAGGTATTCCATCTAACACTAAGAACATCGTTCAGTGGCAATCCGGGAAACTACCTCCGGTCCCTGAAAGCATTATTTTTAAAAGCAATTTGCACAGAGGTTTAATTTACTCCAGAAAACAAAATGAATAAATAACTACACATCAAACAGCCCGTCACAGAGCCTCGGAACTCATTCTGAAGCCAGATCCACCAACAGAACCAGGGAGGCGGGACTCTTTCCTAACAGGCCTGAAGCTAACGCACCGACAAGACACCGGGATGAAGCCTCCCCTCACCAAGCTTGGCGGAGAACCAGAAAACATTTTACAATAACAAGGTCACAGGTTGGTAAGACAACATACAAAAAGAATAACCATCGTCGCTGCCGATAAAAGATAGAGTTCGCTTTTAAGAACAGCATAGTACCCTCCACCACTGTTACACTGTGACGCCATTATCCAAAGGTCCGCTCGCAGCCTGTTTTAAAGCTCCCACCTGTCATGTTGTCCAAAGAAACGGGCATCAACCTGCCCGTCTTTGTCCCTCAGTGCTTTTGCTGGCCAGAATGGAAACCCTTTCAGTTTCGCCCAGACCAAAGGGTGCGGATTGCTCTAGAAGAAGAACAAAATGCAGGGGTGGCGTTATATTTGGCAGCAAAGACACACATTAAAGTCTGAAAGGTAATCTGAATGCAGGGAGGTAGGGAGGACACAGCCGTGTGCTGATTAATTAGGCCTTTGTCAACGTGACACAAGCTGGAGTCATCTGGGAAAGGGAACCTCAAGTAAGAAAAGGCCGCCATCAGACAGGTCTGTACATAGAACTCTGGGGCATTTTCTTGATTGACGACTGCTGTGGGCGGGTTCAAGCCACTGGTGGGCGGGTGGTCCCAGGGTGTATTACAAAGCAAGCTGTGCAGGCCACTGAGCAAGGCGGTGAGTAGCTCTCCTCCAGGGCTTGGCTTGGCTTCCGGTCCTGTCTTAACTGCCCTGGATGAAATAAACCCTTTCCTTCCCAAGCTGCTGCTGGCCTCCGTGTTTTATCACAGTAATTAGAGGCAAAATAGGACATAAGCCATGCATGAAAAGGAGACAGCTGCAAGCAAGGTGTCCCCAGGCAGGTGTGCAGCCTGGACAGAGCCGGCGCAGCTTAAAGCTGAGAGAGTGAATCAGACTTGGGTCCTGGGTGACCAAGAAAATTCACCTCTTCAGGGACCACACCCACCCTGTGCTAAGTCTGTACAAAATGTGGAGTTACACAAAAGTAAGAAACTACAGGAGCCATGCTTGTCTGCTGGGGCTCCCGAGGCTGTGGCTACACAGGTGTTTATCTCCAGGGGCAAACAGAGGCCTGAGCTACGCTTTCCTCATCCAATCTTGTGTTTTCGAGCCCTCCACCCGGACCCTCTCTCAGACACGCTCACTCCACCCAACCACGCTCAACTCTGTAAAGCAGTGGTTCTCAGCACACCTAAGATCAATGGAAAACACAGACATTTCACTATAATTCATAACAGTAGCAAAATTACAGTTATGAAGTAGCAGCAAAACATCCTTACAACTTGGGGGTCACCACAGCGTGAGGAGTTGCATTAAAGGCTGACAGCATTGGGAAGGCTGAAAAACACTGCTTAAAACATACTGGATTTGGTCAATGCCCAACACTGTCGGAGAAAGAAGAGTTTACCAGGATGGCTTTGCACTTCTAAAAACCAATGATCTCTCTGGAGAGACAGACAGTCCTCCAGGGATGTGTGTCCAAAGGTCTTAAAACAGGAACCAACCAGATTTTAAGATGACACAGCAAACTGAAGACACATCCTATGACCTGTACCTCACTTGCCACAATCCTTCTCTTGAGTCACCAGTTACCAGGACACTTAACTCTGGAACAAGACAGTTTGGCCCAAGAGGCTTAGCCAAGCCCTCTTAGCTCCTCTCCACCCTGACTTTCCAGAACAACTTCTACTAAAACTTCACAACCTCATCTCATAAATCCCCAGAGAAGTCCATCTTGGTATAGCCAAAGGCACCGGAGTTTCCAGAAGTGAAACGAAATAACGAGATCCAACTTACACAGGGCTCACAGAACCAGTTGTCTCGTTTCTGGCAAGCCGCAAGATAACATTCTGGACACACTTCAATTTCATTCATCTGCAAAGCAAAACAATACATTAGAGTGTGGCCCCGCCTCCATCCGGAAGCCCTACTGAATCCCTGACACTCTGACTTGCTTGGACTTTTATTTTAAGGTCAGATTTTCTTCTTTTAGTTCTTCTTTTTGTATTACGGGGCAGGCAGAGAGCAACAGAATCTTGCCCGGTAGCCCAGGCTGGCCTCAAAGTGATCAAGAAAGTCTCCTGCCTCAGCCCTCCCAAGTGCTGAGACCATAGGTTCACAGAAGTACACAATCAGTTTGCTTAATTTTTTTTTTCAAGATTAATGACAACCACCACGTCGTCCACACCACAGCCGTCCAGCTCCCTTTTAAGGTGATATTCAGATAGGTGGACAGCACAGCTTAGAACCAACCAAAGGCCTCTCCTGAAGTCAAAGATTACCACTCACAAGCCCAGAGGCTTCAGAAAAAGCCGCTCATGACTCTGGGCTTACACATGTTCATAGGTAGTCAAGGATGATGAATGACACAGAATCCACACAGCAGCTAACTCTATAGACTTAGCATACTGAGACGTCCTGTGGCATCCATGGTCAAAACACCTTAACACAACCAAACTTAAGTCTTCCATGCCTGAGCATTTATTTACAGCTCACAGGTAAGACAAGGTCAGACTATGGCCATCTCATTTTAAAGTACTGCGGAAAGGGATGAAGCCCTAAAAATTCAAATAGGCTACCAAGAGTCCACAGGGGCAGCTAGGTAGGACAGGGATTTGAACCCGGGTAGTGGATCTCCAAAGCCTGAGTCTCCTCAACACACTTAGCAGCTATTATTTTTCTGGTATTGGTGGTCCTGCATTGCTCTTTGCCTCCCGGTGCCACGAAGGGCTCATGTATGTATCTGCTGCATCTGCATCCTGCAGCCCACATCCATGCCCTACCCATCCTCCTGAGCCAGTGTAACTGGAGACCGAAGTGGGAGGGAGGGAGTACCGTACTCCTCTTTCCAAAGGCAATAGTGAGGGGTGTGTCACGACCTGCTTTCAACGCAATACAACTAGAAACAACAACGAAATATTGCTGTCTCTCGATCACATGCAGGAAATACACATACGTATACTTTTTAAATTTAGATGGGCAAGAGAGGTGGCTCAGAGGTTAAAGGCACCTGCTATTCTTGCAGATAACCTGGGTCCAGTTCCCAGCACCCACCTCAGGAAGCTTAAAAGCACGGGTGACTCCAGTTCTAGGAGAAATGCCCTCTGGCCTCTTCAGGCATCTGTATGACTCACATAAACACAAAGGTCTCCATACACACACTGAATGAATGAATGAATGAATGAAAGAATGAATGAATCTTTTACAAAGATCGACACTTCCTGTGCTGGAAGAACACACAGTGCCCCATAGTCAAGCCTTGGTGATCACATTGGCACAGGTTTCCTGGAAGCAATCAGAAAATCACCACCAACTAGCAGACTCTCCTGACATCAGGCATGCTGTTATCTGGGAATCTCATGCCTGAGAACCACACAACCAAGATGGGGGGCGGGGGGAACCCCACCGTAGCCAGGCAATGTGGCAGGAATGGCGGCATAGTGGTTACAACTCTACTCCTGGCACTACAGAGGCAGAGGCTAGCCCAACCTACACAACAAGTTCAAGGCTAGTCAGGGTATATAAGGAGACCCCCATTTTCAATAAGAAAGAAAGAAAGAAAATAAAGGAAAAAGGAGGGAGAGACGGAGCCTTCCTTTGGGAATGACGCCATCAGCTGGCTGACTCAATCCCAACTGTGGAGGTCAAGGTCAAACCTGACGAACTGCCGAGGGAGAAGATTGGATTCCCTGCACTTGATCACGACTTCCTAAAGATTACTCCTATCTCCACTGCTGAACTAAGGGGCTCCTGTAACATTGGGGTCCCCTCTTTCCAGCTTTTGTGTTGCTTGAAGAGACATGATGCAGTACATAACACAGGGCACACGAAAGTCACTGCAGCCACCCACTGGGGTGCCCTGCCTCTAGGAGAGCCCCCACCCACAGGAGGGCCGGGAATCACGTACCTCGTGCTCACAGATTTTGATGACGACTTTCGCTATTTGCGTCAACTTGTGGTTTCCTGAGGGAATAAGAAAAGGGGATCATGAGCCGGGCGGTGGTGGCGCACGCCTTTAATCCCAGCACTTGGGAGGCAGAGGCAGGTGGATTTCTG